CCAGTAATTTGTCCAAATTGCTGATATACTTTTAAAAATATTTCACTCATTAAATATTGTTTAGATTCTTCCCTGCCTTCTTAGAGATTTGATGGATAAAGTACTAACTAGTATTATAACATATGCTACAATAACTAATCCATCAACTTCAATTTTAATAATTGAGAGAGTTTTAAACATTGAAAAAAGTATTTGGTTAACAAGCCAGATATAAAGTATGTAAAAAGATTAAAAATGGTGTGTGTTAATCATCTTTCACATTTTGCCTACCCTTTCATTGATACTTTAAAATGAGAAACTGCTCAAAATACCAGACATGCATATGATCTCCCTGTTGAGGAAAGTTGCCAGCCAAAGCAGTTATGTCTCAAGATGGTTGTACTGACAAATATTTTAAATTAATACTATAATCATTATTTGGTTGTGTTTTGGTTGCATTATGATCTGCAGACTGGGGAAACTTTCCTCAGGTTTCCAGTTCTTTCCAACTTTAAGATTCCACCATCCTATAAGATGCTCTGTCTTTTCATGCATTCTTTCTTTAGGCTCCAAGTCAATCGGAGAATGAGGTCATTATGCTGCTGTTGATCCTGTTCCACATGGCAGTATATAGACTCAGAATGAGGAACCTGAACTGAAACAAAAGTGCAAAACATGCTATAGCTGTATCTTTTAGAGAATTTTTTAGAAGTATCTCACATGTGGTATGGCAAGCATCTCTGCTTGATTCTAAGCTGGGTTTGTTGCTGGGGTTCAAGCCTGTCTGAACATGTCTGGCAAACTAGTGAGTCAAGACTGAAAGAAACCTGCTGACATGGGAGCTGAGACTGCTTCCTAGAACAGAACTCATTTTAGTGGTAGAGAGAATTAGACAGGAAAGCCCTATAAGAAAGACTTAGTCACTGGATGGGGAGTAATAAATACAGCTTGGGGTAGCTGTTACTCAAATCTGTCGCCAACCTAGGCCCATGAAAGCATGTCTGGGTCCCTACGAGAAACAGAGCTCTGCATAAAAACATAAAGAGCTGTTTCACTGAAAACTGTATACGACATTGGACACAAGCAGTCTGCTCTGGGGTTCCCCTAAAGAGGTTAACACAGTGACCTCCATTTCTTTAGGCTACACTGTGGCTTTGGCTGTTTTGTTGGTATCACAGATCCTGGTAGGAGCCTGGAGTGCCTAGGAGAACAGAGCAGGAGAAGAGGGGCACTGAAAGAGAGGAGGGTGAGAGAGACTCCCTCCCCCCATCCTGGGGGTTCCCAGAGAGCTGGAGGTGTCCTTACTATGTTAGTAGGCTTGGTAGGTAGAAGAGTCAGTGAAATTCAAGTTATTCTTGCTAATCTGACCCTTAGTACTGTAGCCAATGTATTCAAATGTTATTCCTAATTAAATAGCTCTTATGCAATGGTGTGTTATTGGGTAATTTTTAATTATGTATAGAATCACACACTCTCCAAGTAGGAAAGAGGGGACTATAGAACGGTGATTCTCAATATGTGAAGGACCAGTTTTTTCCCCCCAACTTTTAGTGGACTGATAATTTTTGCAAAATATATTAAAAGTGAATTACCAGAATAATAAAGTAAACCGATGACATCGAAAATATAAGCCCCCAATTTTTTCCCCAAATTTTTATTATTACATTCAACAGACATAAAATTACTCTGTCAAGTTGTGATAAAAGTTTCCAGAAGTTAATTTCAACACTTGTCTTGCTGCAGACCTGTAACAATTAGTGGCTGGTTTGTAGACCACATTTCTTGTACTTCATTAACCTCTTACCTGATCGCACCTGAAGGAACTCCATCACCTGGAGGTCCTGCCTCTAGTCATACTTCAGTGAGTGACATAATATAGGAGAGCACCCTTGTTCTAAGGAGATGCGTGAGGAGTAATGGCATCTGCAACTGAATAGAGAGGGAGAATGGGAGAGGGAATAGAAATAGGGGTAAGGGAAGATGGAGAGGGAGAGAGAAAGAGACTGTAGAGAGGGATGAGACAGAGGGACACTGGTAAAATGTTAGCATTTGATGAATCTAGGCAGGTATACAGGTGTTTATTATCCAGTTCTTTCAAATTATCAGAAAATTTCCAATTTAAAAAACAAAAACACTCTCCCATCACTCAGTGATGGGAAACACAATTTTCTCAAAAAGCCAGTTCCGTGATAACTCATTTTACTCTTTAAGTACAAATACTGCAGCTAGAACATTAATTTGTGGCTTTGATACCTGCCATTACCATGTGTCTAATCTCCATTCATTTTTCACTCTTTTCACCATATCTCTTATACATTAGATACCCTTACAGCGTAACTTTAATCATATCACACCTTTTAAAGACTATCTCGGTATATACCTGTTGTCTTTGAAAGTCAAACTTTTTATTCAAGATTTTCTGCAATCTAATCTTTAACTCTGCTTTTGTTTTCTAGCTTTGCTTTCTCATGGTTAACACTAACGCGAATAAAATTTTTATGCTTTTCCATGTTACTGCTTCTTATTCTCAGAATTTCCTCATACAGAATTTTATTCTATACAGAAATTTATTATTCTCATACAGAAATTTATTCTTTAAGATCCTGCTCAAATTAGTTAAACTAAGATGTAGTTATATATCTTATTATTATACACATCTGTTCAAATCCTACATTCTTCACGAAGTTTTCCTTGATTAATTCGGCCGAACATTGACACTAATCTCCAGGTCTTAATACAGTGCCTGGCACATATACTTAATAGTATACACTTTTCAGTTAAGCTCTCTTAATAGTTCTTAATTTAGAATACAGGATAATATATTCCTTGTCCATCTCAAAGAGTGGCTTTGAAGTTTAAATGTTCGAGGTTAGTATTTTGCATTGTACGTGTGTGTGAAGGTTATCTGTAAACCATAATGCTTCATACTCTTATTTTTATTTTTGCTTTCCCTTGAGGCAACATATAGAACTTATATCTGTCCAAAGGCCTAAGGCAGCATATATAATAGTGGAATGGTCATGGTATTTGAACTTTCCAAGATGTGTAAGAGCATGGAGAATTTGGTTTAAAGCAGTTAGTTCTCAGATCCTCACATCTCTTAGGCAGCCATCCCTAAAACTGATGTGCCTGAAAATGTGCCCTGGGCATCAGAGTGTAAACTGCACTCCTTTTCTCTCCCCTACTTTACAAAAGAAAGGCAATTCTTCCCCATCTTAAATCTTACTGTGGTGCAATACCCCGCCCCCCTCCCCAATCTTTACCCTGAGGCTGGGGAAGAGTCGGGGGTGGGTGGGGGATGCAAAACCTTCAAGACACCAAAAGAAACAATTAGCCTGGGGAAGAGAATGGGTAACCATCCTTTCACAAGTCAGGTGGGTTTCAGTTACTTGAATTTCAACAAAATTGAAAGAGAACCTAGTCAGAGTTGTCAGCTGTTAAATCATTAAAAGTATTTTTTCTTTATTAGATCTTTATGTGTTTTTTTTTGGCATATAATTTGGAGGAGTTCAAAGAATGAAGCATGAGTACTATACCAAAACTCCATTCATTCTCATCTACTTATTTATGTGGACAAGTTTTCTTAATGCTTACACCCATGGAATTGAAAACTTGGAATTAATGCTGAACTCAGTCTCATTCTAGTTGTTAATCCACTGATGACTGGTTGAAAAAAAAAAATCATCCAATTCCATCTCTGTAAAGATGCATTTTCAACAGAATTTTACATTTATGGTTAATATTTATAAATATTGGCAATATATTTGTTTTATCAGTTGAAATAATGACTTAGTTATATAAGCACAGGAAATTTAAAACTACTCTTAAATTTCAATTTATATACACATTTTTATTACAAGGAACTGTAAGATGATCAATAAAACATCTCAAATATAAAATATGTTAAGAAAAAACTCGGGGTGGGGAGATGTGGAACGTTGAGTTCCAGAAGACAAACGAAGTATGAAAATTGCCTAAGTATAGGAGAGATTTTATTTAGGAAGTATTAGTGGATAATAAATCCCTATGGTCTTTGGAGTGCATTGGCTACATTTTAAAAAACGAGAGTTATAAAATATTTAAACAAGCTGAGAAAAAAATGTAGATGTTACTTTACGCCGTATAAGGACGAACAAAATTGTTTTGGAGGGCTCATGACCCCCAAAGCTTGAGGATCTTGAACATTAAGGATTTAACCATTCCTTGAGGTATTCAAACGCAGGTTAGAGTAAAACCTGTGGGTCTATGTTGCCCATATGGATTTAGTACCTTGCATTGTATTATTTATTTTTATTCGTTTTAATCGCCGCTTTTCGTAGACTGTAAGCTCTCAAAAGACCAAGGACTTGTTTGATTCCTGGCTCAGTGCCTTTACACAAGGGACACTCCCCAAACACCCCGGAATGAATGACTTTATCGTGAGAACTCGGAGGGTTGTTAAAATCCCCAGCTAGCCCTGGGGTTTTCGTTCTGCGTGTCCCGCCCGCTGCAAGCCGGGGGAAGGCGTGGGAAGACCCGAAGGAAACTCTGAGCACCCCGCGGGGCGGGGGCCGGGCGGGGCCCGGGTGGGGGTGC